ATACATAAATAAGTTATTCAGATACCAACATGATATACAAGAATTGAATTAGGAACATGCAGGACTGCTGGAGGCCATTAGATTTGGTTTTGAGGGAGAGAATGGAGATGTTAACTAGAATAATGTAGTAGTTTTCTAAAAAAAATGTAAAAAAAAGAAGAAAAAAAAAAGAATGGAGTGTTGGAATGATGGAGAAAAAAGAAGACAAAGATCACATCAAGGCAAAGAGGAAGAAGACAAAAAAGTAATGGTAAAGTTGTTATTTCTTTAAAAATTGAGGGCAATTAAAATAAAAAAAATAAATCAAAAATTAGATCAAAAAATTTCATCCATTAGATTTGAAATCAATGGTAAGCAAGGGGTGCCATTTTTGAGGGGCAAATGGCAACTCCCAAATATAAGTATAGGGGATATATATATATATATATATATATATATATATATATATATATATATATATATATATATATATATATATATATATATATATATATACATATATATACTATGTTTCTTTATTAGAAACAGAGAGAATACCAATATAATTTCAATTTTATACACTTTTCCTAGTCCTTGATTCTTCACATTGCTTCCGCCTAACTGGCGGGTGGTGTTATTCTCCACCCGCCAGGCCATTCCATATTCCAAATTCAACACTTTTAACATACCTATTGCACTAACAGGTCTACTATAATTAAATAAAGCATTTGTGTACTGTTCAAGGTTATCAAGGCGGACTTTCTAGGCGAGATGCCACCAACTGCCTAGTCGACGCCTAGGCGATGAGTATTAAATAAATAAAAAGTATATATATATTGAAAATATCTTGTCTTGGGCAGTCTTTTTGCTGGCATATTTACTTCAAGTAGATGAATAGTTTTTCCTAGAATAGTGAAAAGTCTAGTATTTATTGTATATTGAAAATATCTTGTCTTGGGCAGCCTTTTTACAACCCTATTTACTTCAAGTTGTCTTGAGAAGATGAATAGTTTTTCCTAGGGTGGTGAGAAGTCTAGTATATATTGATAACATGCTAGAGTGAGGGAGTGGGTTTTGCTCGGAACAGGAGGACGACGCCGGAGCTTGAACCGCGCCGCCATCAGAACCACCACGCGCCGCCGCTGTGCCGCTGCTCCGACACCACTCGCCGGCGAGTGAGGCAGATTCTGGCGACTTCTCCGGCTGAAAATTACACCGGTCAACTCGCCTTATTGTGTAAGTTCTGCCCATGTATGTTTTGTGGAGTTTTGGGTTGTATTCTACACTTAGGCGAGGCGAGCACATTAGGCGTTCGGTCTTGACCGACCGGACGCCTAGGCGACGCCTTGATAACCCTGGTACTGTTACATCAAAAATCAATTTTGTAGACCATTAGCACAAGTAATTCCACACTAAAAGAGGGAAGGGAACCAGTCGGTTTATAGACCATTTTCAAGGGAGTTACAAAAGTCATCATGAAATTTAGCAGAAGTAATTTCAACATAGTTTAACTCGCAAGATAATTGTGGATTTGTACTAAAGCTTTTAACATACCTATTGCACTAACAGGACTACTATAATTAAATAAAGTATTTGTGTACTGTTATATCAAAAATCAATTTTGTAGACCATTAGCACAGGTAATTCCAACACTAAAAAGAGGGAAGGAAACTAGACAACCAGTTGGGTTATAGACCATTTTGAAGTGAGTTACAAAAGTCATCATTAAATTTAGAACAAGTAATTTCAAAGTAGTTTAACTTGCACGACAACTGTGAATTTGTGGTTTAAAACTTAACATTTCTAATTATACATCATTTTTAAAAAATCATTTTAAGCTCAAAATGACATGTAGAAAATGTAAGAGCAACCTAACAATCCAAAAATCTAGAACCAAAAAAGGTTTCATTACCACAATTCGGGCACTCCAATTTTTACCAATCCGATCCTTATTATTGAGTGATTGAAAAGAATGACACAATTACACATGCAGGTAGAAAAATATCAAAGCATAATACAAATTACCGGAAAAAAAAAAAAAAAAAAAAAAAAAAAAAAAAAAAAAACATGTAAAGGATCAAAGGAAATGATGACCTTGGTGGTGACTTTGTAGGAGATATAAGCTTGGACCCCATTGCCCATTTTAGCTGGGTCGGTCACTGATATTGAAAGATAAGGCGCCATTTGTGATGCCTGTGGGGATCTAGGGCTTTGAAATGACCCGGATCCGCTTATCTCCTGATGTTCCACATTCAAACACCAACCATTTCAATAATAAAGAAAAAAAAAACTGTTAGCTTTACCAACTCAATCAGGATATATAACAAGTGAAAAGAAGATGATGATGGAGAAACCGTAATTACTGTGGAGATCATGGTAGCTTGGCGATTAAAGGTCGGAAAGAAGATTAACAGAGAGCTGATAGAACAGGGGCGATGGAGAGAGATACGTGCTTGCTAAATCTCACAAGTGGGGCGAAATCTAACTGATGTAGTAGCGCGCAGTTTCTTTTTTCCGGTGATGACCTGACCCGGAGACCCGTTACAAATAAAGCAATTATTATCCATGCAATATTTTTTTTTGCTTTTAAAAATAAATCTCACTACCACATAATAAAATTTAAAAATTTTAAATAAATTTTTACATGCAATGCTCTTTCATTTTACAAATAGTCTCACTTTCATATTATATTAGAAATATAATAATAAAACAACAGAAAAATAACAAATAACAAATAAAAAATAAAAAAATAAGGATAAAAGGCGATTGAATGTCTTGTAAGCTTTTGGGAGAGTCCGATCAACTCCTTGAGATGATCTAAGCAAGAGATCTAAGTTAGATCACTTGGGGCACACTTCCATGGCATTTCCTAATTCAATATCCGGGACGATGCAACTAGAATGAAGTGTAGGCAAGATGTTCGAACAAATGACTATTAGGTACTTAGTCACCTAAAAGTGTTCTAAGCTTAGAGGAATCCTAGTATACCGGGAGGTGAATGGACTTAGCATTACACAATTCTAGTCTTGCGATGTCCTAACCTATGTTAATGATCCTACATGCATTATGAAGTAGATGAACAATCCAAATCCCTGTTTTACATATTTGCTTGTTTCCTTGGTTTCCTTGCTTTGTATTACCACTTAAAGTCTCAACAGATCAGTGCTTCCAAATTTGTATAAATATGTGAATTCATTGTAGAACCCTGCATTCAACCAGCTAGACGAAGTACAAATTGCTTCCAACAAATCACAGAATACATATCTCTCAAACAACCTACTTGGAAGTGAGATCTCTCCCTTCAATATCTGGAGTGCTATTAAGGTCCAAGTGGTTCGTTCATACAATGTACCAGAACACAAAGGAAGCTATCAAGAGGAAGGAGATTGTCTTTCATAATTCTAAGGTAAATTTAGGAAAAAAAAAAATTACCATACTGTAAGCACCATCTCATACAGAATCATCAGTACTGATTTAAATTACATGTATATACAGAGAACATTAGTCTATGCCCACATCCCAAAAGATTATGCTCCTAAGTTCCTTAATAAGTTTAAGGAAGGGTCAGTTTACGGTAGTAAGCGTTTTTTGGTTTGGTCTGTTGATGGATTTTTGAAACAATTTTGCCCGGTGGCACAGAAATCTCGAAAGTGCTGATCTTATAAAACAATTGTGTCTGGTGGCACAAGAATCATTTTTTTTGTTTATATATTAGTCTGTTTTTACTTTTGATATAGATTGTTGTTCACTGTTTTTAAAACAAAGGTTTGAAAACCTTATCATGTACACAAGGGTTTGAAAACCTGCTGCAATCAGTTTTCTTTTTCAGAGTGTTCAGTCACCTACACTTCCAAGTAGATGATTGCAGTGGTGACCAATCTTTTTGTATGATTCAATCATTCATTTGCAGGTAGTTCAACTTGAGGACACATTATAACTGATGGGGTTGTAAATCTATAACTACTTTCAAAATACATTTATAGGAACAATAGTACATATTACGTATGAAGCAAGACACTAGATATTTCATATTTCATTTTACTTCTGTTTAGAGGGAAAAAAATAGTGCATCAGACTGTAACATCATCATTTGCAAGTGTTTATTAGTTAGTAAAGTTTAGGTAAAAAATAACATAATTTTTGGAAAGTCTATTTAGTAAATACCAAATGGTCAATGAAAAACACAGATATAGAACTACAGATACTGTGAAAAGTATCAAGTACCTGGTGTCTATCTTTATTATTTTCCCTTTTGCATACTAATACAGTACATACCTTGACAAATACACTGTTGAATTTCATCCTAAGGTATGTTTTAAATCCTGCAAGGAACAAATTGATTGATTATTAAACTTTACAAATGCACAGTGCACTAATTACAGTATTAGGAAATTCACAAATCTGCAATAAAAACTATTATACTAAGACATGAGCTAAATAAAATAAATTGACTAATTTATAATACATTTAATAAAAAAAGAATTAAACAGATTCTTAAATTCATGTTTTCATGTTCTGTATTCAATACTAAAGCACAATACTAACACAGTATTTGGAACTTTGATTCTTCCCAAATCGTTTAAATACATCTTTAACAATATATATGTGCTTCTAAAATTCGGAAATCAACAGAAAGACAGAATACACTCTGAGTTTTGCAAATACTAAATTTAAGGTCTTACTACATAAGTATACACACCTGTTTTAAATAATCTGACAGTAAGCTGAACATGTGAAACTAAAATTCCTAGAGCAGTAGAATATTACGGAGTAATAAAAAATTAATTTTTGGGTGAAAATTTGTAAAAAAATCAAAAATAAAAATAAAAAATCTGATATCTAATTCAAGCATGCATAGGTTTCATACTGAAATAAAATCTATAAATCAATAGAATTTTTTTTTAAAAAAAAAAACCTAGGTTTTGTGGTGTAAATCGTATATCAATGGTCGGAGACTCAACCGTATCTGTTTCGTAGGCTTAACCGGATTTGGTAATCTGACGGAGACTATTCCCTGTACATTACCCGTCGACATCTGCCTCTGCAAGATCACGGTTCGAAAAAAAAAATCCCAGCACGTTAGCCGTCGAACACCGGTGTGCTCTGAAACTATCGAATTATTAAAAAAACTGTAAAATCTCCACAATTTCCAGATTTGGAGTTATAGATATGTCGGAAAACAAAATCGACAGGAAAGTTCTAGAGTGAGATACAGAGCACCACCGTGGTCTTCATCTAATCGGCGAATCATTGGCTTTTTAATAATAACTAGTAGTTGCACATCTGGGATGCACGACTATATATACTGTATATAATATAATATAATTAGATGAAAAGATATACATTTTCAGCACTTAATAAATTTGAAATAATGAATTTATAAATTTTATTGGACATTATTGAATTCTTGAATGTTAGTAATAATATAGTATATGGTTTATTTATCTGTGGCTAGTATTTTATTGGACATTATTAAATTCTTGAATATTCTGTTTGTTGAACCCATAGCGATGCACAGCTATGTATATAGTACATAGAAAAAGCCGTATAATATAATAAGAAGAAAAATTCAATTTCTAACCAAAGGAAATTATGAATAAAACATTGTGGATGTTATTATACATTGTTGAATACTTCATTGTACACAACATTTTTAGTCGTACTAAAACATGATACATTTTCACTACAAATTAAAATTTTCAAACCTCTTGGGCTACTAACTCTTGAAACAGCTACGTACAATTGTCCATGGTTAAAGACATGTTTTTTCAACAGTAATCCCACTCTAGAAAGTGTTTGTCCTTGACTTTTGTTGATTGTCATGGCATAGGATAGCATCAACGGGAATTGCTTCCGTTGAAATTTGAAAGGCAATCTTGGACCTGACGGTGTCAGTGACATTCTAGGAATTAATACTCTTGTTCCTACATTTGTACCGCACATGATCTTGCCTTCCAACATGTGATCAGCTAACCTAGTAACAATCAACCTTGTACCGTTGCATAATCCGAGTGTGTGATCAATATTTCTCAAGAGCATAACAGGTGACCCAACTTTCAATGTCAAAGCATGATTTGGTACTCCAGAACATCTAAGGCTATTCAAGAATTCGGGAGTGTGCAAATCTGCTAACATGTTAACATTTGAATCTGACTTACAAACTGAATCACAACTCAAGTATGTCTTACCCTCAACCGGATTATGGTCATTCATGTATTGGTTAATGCTATCTATGACATCCAATGTTGGAGCCAAAATTGCACTATCATTAAGATATGACAAATCACCAATCCCTTGTCTAAAATTCGGGAAGGTGCTATCAACAATTGTGGCAATAGGGTCATCCTCGCACTTCAGCAATAAATGTTCAGGAACTGTAATATCTGACCCACCATCACATTGAATACCAACAATTCTGTCACCTATATTAGCTATCCATTTTGCAAACTCCTCGATCTCTCTACACTCGATTTGTGATTGTACACTTCTTAGGCGTAGATTCTTAGTTAGCCTAAATACTTTGCAGAATTTCCATAGGTATGAGGAGCTAATGCTTGCACGGACAATATCCTGTCTTGTACCCTTCGGAATAACTGGTAAAATCTGCCTGAAATCCCCACCGAACACAACTGTTTTACCACCAAATGTCATATCATAACTCCTTGGATTTTTTAAACGCAACAAATCCCTCATCGTTCGATCTAGGGCCTCAAAGCAAAATTTGTGCATCATTGGAGCTTCATCCCATATTATCAACTTGCTTTGCACAATAAGCTCTGCTAGTTGACTGCCGTGACTTATGTTGCAAGTGGAATCTTCATTAATAGATATCGGTATGGCAAACCGAGAATGTGCAGTTCTCCCACCTGGTAACAAAAGCGAAGCTATACCGCTGGATGCAACATTTAACACTATTTCACTCTTAGACCTTAATGCGGAGAACAATGCACGCCACAAAAACGTCTTTCCAGTCCCTCCATAACCGTAAACGAAGAATAACCCTCCAGCTTGGCGATCAATATCGGTTAACACCTCATTGTATATGACCTTTTGCTCTTCAGTTAGTTGCCTTACCAAATCCTGGTTCTCTTTCTCTTGTTCCACACTGTCATATGCTAATTCCTCTTGTATAAACCTGTTCAATATAACATTTAAGGCAGCAAAATTCGCCGTGGGCATTTCAGGATAGTCCTTCAAACTCTTCCCATAAATAGATAATAGTTTTTCAATCTCCACTAAAGCAAAGTTCATCTTGTGAGATTCGGTCAACACAAAATCTGCATAATGTTATATAACATATAATAATTAACATCCCTACATTTAAGTTAACTTTATATGGTGTTAGCAATATAACAAAAATAATTTCTAGAATGTATGAGTACCTCTATTGTGCAATTGTTTGCGGACATGGAATTGTGCATCATCTGACAAATGTGGCCACACAACATACCAAACTATTTCTGGTTTACCCATGCAACTGCTCATTAGCAATGTAACAAATAATCTCCTAAGTTGATCTGCTGACGCCCAATGACTGGCTTCATCTATTGCATCAACATATTCGTTATCATCATCAACTAAACCTCTTGCATAACACGCGTCTCGAAAGGAGTCATAGTGGACACCATTTACAGTCCTGATATCTTCATAACTTGTAGGCCCACGTATTTTATTCAACAAACACCTCAAATAAAATATTTCGCTAGTAGCTGGCAGAACATAAAAGATCCGTCCGATTGAGAATCCTTTTTTCCGTGGCTGCCATTTTCGGACATCTTTCTCCAAACGAATCTTGTGGGCATCTCAACATAAGTAAGCTCTCTTGCATCAGGGAAAGTTTTATTCGCCTCAAACCATTCTAAGAACATGCTCTGTGCTATTGTTGGTTTATTAACAATGTTCTCAACAGGATCATCATCTGCAAATATCACACTCTGTTGATTGGGAAGGTGAAAGCTTAACCTTTCCACTGAAGGAGCCCTAAGCTGTATATCAAAACCAAACAAACGCCAGACTGCTTCGCATGGGGATATGTACCTACAGTCATAGTACATATTAATCTCATCTATGGCTTTCCCATTTTCTTCATCACTGGTTGTCTTGTAGAATTCGGCTGTTACCCGATCATGACCCTTGTTAACATACTTGAACAGATACTTGATTGAGCGTGACTAGTTGCACCACTCAACATTTATATGAGCCTTATACTTAAGCAATAAATGTCTATTGTGTGGTACCACATACCTGTTGTCCAACGCGATCCCGTTCTTTGTAACTATATTGCCGTTGTCTCTCCTTCTATATACCGGGTAACCATCGTCATCAAATATAGAACTCTCAACAAATCTCTTAGGAAAATGTTTTGAGCATCGTGCATTTACCATACATGGAGAATTGGTCCTTGCTTTTCCACATGGCCCATGCATCATAAATTCCTCTACCGCTTTGTAATATTGTGCATCTGTCTTTTCATCTGGTATCTATGCTGAAATTATCTTATCTAGAGTAACTAACGGCTTTATTTTTCTCCAAAAAAAAGCAATATATGAGCATGCGGAAGACCTCACTTTTGGAACTCAATTGTATATATAACTGCAACATAATAGCAATAACCAAATCAATGGATGGTAATTTATGCTAATTGTAAAGACATTAATGTAAAATTAAACTAAAAGATTACCTCCCGCCACAGAGCCAAAAATTTTATTCTTTCGACAATCAGCTAGCAAGGAATCCAACTTCATCTTGAATAAACGGCAGATGATGTCAGGTCGGTCTTCTGCTTTCAACCTTCGATCTTTTAAAAAATGTTGTACCTCAGGCCACTTTGGGTTGCATGTAACACTACAAAAAAACACCGAAATAACTACGGATTTAGTGACGGACGCGTTCTGTTGCTAATTTAGCGACGGAATAGTGAGAGATTATAATTTTTTTTTGTTACATGGATATTTAGCGACCGAATAGAGACGGACTAACGACGGATATTGCGACGGAATATTTCCGTTGTTAAATACGTAGCTAATTTTGGCGCAAAAATTAGAGACAGATTTGTGACGAATTTGTGACGGAATTTTTGCGGATTTATTTCTTTACTTTAATTACTACGAATTAGCGACGGAATTTTTGCGAATTTATTTCTTTACTTTAATTACTACGAATTAGCGACGGATATATGAATCCGTCGCTACATATTGAAGAAAAAATTTGTTTGCGTTAACATTTTAGCGACGGACTAAAAGATCTCTCGCTATGTTGCGACGGACCTTCAAATCCGTCGCTAGAATTTTAAGCGGCATTTCTTTAAAGTGTTGTAGTGACGAAAATTTGGTTCCGTCGCTAGACTTCAGATTTTTTAACAATGTAGTCCAGTGACGGATTTTAAAATCTGTCGCTATTTAGGGCGGGGTTTTTAACAATGTTTGAGCGGGATTTTTTTACAACATATTAGCGACGGACATTTTGTTCCGTCGCTAGATTTTTTGATTTTTCAATATTGTAGTTAAAAAAAAAATAAAAAAAATTGTAGTTTAATATTTTTTTTTTTAAACAGTTTAGCAACGGAATTTAACATCCATTGCTAAATTAAGAAGCGGGAAATTAATGTAATGCGAAATTTTTTAACACTCTAGCGATGGATGTTGGATACGTCAGTAACAGCCTGAATTAACAAAAAAATTTACGCCAAAAGCCTCAAATTAAACCCTCGCTACCTAACCCTACCACTCGCTAACAAAGTCAAACACGGTGCCCACTGCCCATCGATCATCGGCCAACGCCCACCGTCGACTGCCCACCGCCGACGGCGCCAACGCCCACCGCCAACTGCCCATCGCCGACTGCCCATCAGCGACTCCCCATCGCCGACTCCCCTGCTGTCTACTCCGCAGGTATGTATATTTGAAGTTTTTGGCTTCTGCCGACTGCCCACTTCTTCTCACTATTTGACTTTATGTATATGTATGCTTATGTGTTTGTATATGATTGTATGACTCAATTTTTGTATATGGCTTCTCAATTTTTTGGCTTCTCAATTTTTCAATATTTGAAATATATATACCAGCGGATGTATGTTTGACTGTCAAAATCCCTTTTCGTTCACTGTATGTATATGTATGCTTTGTTGTATGTGTTAATTTTTGTTAAGCCGAAGGAGGTTAGACTGGCAGGGGATTGGAGTTTGCACTAACATCCTTGAGAAATGCTTCATCATTGGATGCGATTGGGCAAAGGATTAGTTAAACAATTCTTTTTGAATTATTAGTTGTACCTTTATATTGTTGATTAGATTTGAGAACTGGCCTTATGGTGGAAAAGTGGAATGCACTTGAGAGGACTGATACATGCAAACAATTAATATTAGAAAAGATCAATTTTGGTCTCATATTCTACACTGTACTCAGTAGTTTCTTTCAAAATTAGTTTTTTACTTTTAAAATATTTCAATTATATATAAACTTATATGTTCTAATTTTATTTTATTTTTTGGTTCACTGATTTTGATTATTCACATGTTTGTATTGCTTAGGATGCCACATTTTAATGTAAAAGATCATTACATTTATTTTGTCAAAATTCCTTTTCGTTCATTCATGTTTTTATTCTCAGAAGTTTTAGGATTGTACTAGTTAGCTGCCAATGGTTTCTTTTAGATCAAAAATTCCCCATCCATATATCATACAGAACAATGACAAGTTAGGAAGATTATCATTATAAAAATTATTTATATGCAAATTATTTGTTAATAAAAATTCTCAAATAATTTATTTTTTATATTGAGGTTTTTATTCATTCAATTATGTTGTAGAAAGAACCTTTGATTGACTGCATGTAAAATAAATAGAATCCCTATCAAAATAAATTTTGATTTGCACCCTTCAAAAAAAAATTCTAATTTGCATTTCCTTTGTAAATATGTAAAAATCATATTGTTATACTTATGGTTTTACATATAAATATTATGCAAAATTTACAGATTACAGATTTATAAGATTTTTATGTTGTAGTAGTAATTATGTTGTAGTGCTTGTCTAGCTATTGTGTTCTATTTGTTGTCTTTGTGAGCTCAAAATGGATGTCTAAGCGGCAAATACTATCGTGGTATAATTGCAGTTTCAAGTCGAGAATCAAAACTATTGTCCGGGAATCACATTATTACAATCAAGATTCTTCAAGCTCTTCTTCGATTGATAAGGTTTGAACAATTACAAATTTTTCATTTGTTCTTTATTTGCCGGCTAAACCGCCTGTGGGTACCGGCACTTGTATTTTCTCCGGCTAAACCGCCTGTGGGTACCGGAGGTTTATGAAAATTTGTGTGATTGTTTATTTGTATCTCTTTATTTGCCGGCTAAACCGCCTGTGGGTACCGGCACTTGTGTTTTCTCCGGCTAAACCGCCTGTGGGTACCGGAGGTTTATGAAAATATGCATGATTGAGCATACCGGGGGATCTAGATCAGCTATTGAGCATTATCACAAGTTGGTAATACATTTAACTTATAAATTTATTATTTGTATATATTTTACAAGTTAAGTATCATTTTATTGTTATTTGTGCTTGTTTAATAGCGAGATGAGCTTCAAAAGGAGCCTAATATGTTTGAGTGCTTCGAGCAAATCCACAAAAAGAAGAATGGAATGTTCGTTGATTCAAGGTCAAAGAGAATCGCTGTAAGTATAACGTAACAATCATATATATTGTTAAATAGATAAATTTTTTATATGCCTTTGTATATATGCCTTTGTATACTTCTTTTGTTTTGTAAATATTTTTAATTGTAGGACGAAATACAAGCACGACATGCAGCTGCAACGCAAGAAGCTGAAGGGTCAACTGAGCCACCAAGTATAAACATGTCACAGCTTTATGTGGATGTTGTTGGCGGGGTAAAAAAACAGCGTATTTATGGCTTAGGGACTAAGGCATCCTCATTTATCAGCGAGAATAATTGTGGTTCGTCTGCTACTTCACAACTTCGTCAAGATGCAATGAAGGAGATGGTAAATCAACAGATAGAGACTATGCGAGCTGAGATGGAGGCTAAAATGCAGGCTCAGATTGCAAGTTTGATGGATGAGTTGCGTCCCAATGGAATGTTATCCACGTCTATGCCATCACCTCCAACTACTCAAGTTGAACATTCTGCTAATTCAAATGATGAAAACTTAGGAGATGATTATCTTTATGTTTATTAATATATTTGGTACTGTTGTTATTCTTAATGATTAGATTAACATTATACCGCTTTTTACTTTTGTTATTGTTATTTTGTATGAATGTTTTCATATAATATTTTACAATTATATTATTGGTGTAGTATATTATATGTATATTTTGCAGGTATGCGATATCAATTAGTGGCTAATTTTTTTTTTAATTTTAAAAATTTAGTGACGGACATTTATTATCATAATTTCGTAGCTAAGTATTTAATATAAAATATAAAATCGTAGCGGAATAGTGACAGAGCAATTTCGTAGTTAAACGTAGCGATGGATAGTTTCGTCACTAAACCGTAGCTACATGGAATTAAATTTAAATAATAAAAACAAGCTAGCGACGACATATATCCGTCACTACATTGTAGCGACGGAATAATCCGTCGCTAGTCTGTTGTAAAGGTTGGCACCATTTCGTCGTGCTACGAATTTAGCAACAGATATTTTGTTTGTTTAGCGACGGATATTCCGTCGCTACATTTAGCGACGGAAGCTGCCGTCATTATTCCCTCGCAAATTTTGACGACAAAACCGTCGCGGGAGACAAATTTAGCGACGGATTAGTTTTTTCTAGCGACGGAGATTTTCGTCGCTAAGGGTAGCGACAGAATTAATTCACGTCGTTAAAATCTAGCGACGCTCATTATAGCGACGGACGAAATCCGTCGCTATATGGTTTAGCGACAGATTTGGCCTGTTTAGCGACGGAAATTGTCCGTCGCTATTTTCGTGTTTTTTTTTGTAGTGGTAAACGTTATAAATAAATCAGGGTAACCAATCCATCTACATATTGCCATGACATCTTGGTAGTTTTGTATCATGTACCGAGCCCCGCCTGTGAAACTTGAAGGTAGTATTTTTCTTCGACCTTGTGCTGCGGGGTTGACTTCACCCCTGGTTAAAGCGTCAGTCAACCCACTGTATGTTTCACACCTTAGGCTTTTTTGATGTCCTGATATAAATGAGTCTTCCGGACTCCACCATTGTGTATCCATCTACAATAAACTGTTGGAACAGACGCTTTGCAAATAGAATTGTACTCGGAGCAGAATCTCTAGTCTGAATTCGATAGCAAAAATACTCCCTGAGGCTAATCCTCTGTCGACCACCAGCTGAACGGTTGCCCTGTACATTCGAGAATGCAATGTCTTCCCGATATCCATCTTCACCATATGGAAACAACAGGGGGTATTGAACTGGGAGGTATGAAGGATTTAATTCACTAAAATTCTCTGCAATTGGCCACCTTTAGCTTGAACAACAATATCACGCTCACCAATACTGGTATCCAGATCTCCAACTATTAAAGCTGCTACTTCGGACACTTGCGGCAGATTGTATGTTCTTGCATCTTTAGTGCGTTTTCCCAATAACTTTATTTTGACTTCAGCGCATGGGTTACTATCAAGCTCAGACCTAGCCATCCGAAATGACTTAACCAAAACATTATTTTGATCGAGCTCCTTCTGAAGCACATTCACTATTTCTACATGAATGTCATCTTGATCACCTCTACCCCTACACGAACGAAAGAATTGCATTGATAAGTATGTAAATTAAAATTCGTAGCTTAAGTGTAGTAACAGCAACTTGTATACCTCACAACATTTATACGGTTGTTCTTTTCATTTGCCGTATCGTATATGTACAACTGGGCAAAATGTGGTTCTCTGCCGTCTTTTGGAAGGAGACTGCCCATTAAGTGATAGTTTTGTCCACTTAATATGAAAACGGGTGGTGCGCCTCCCTTGTTCAAGCTCTTGTCTATTTTTCCGCCCATTGATGTGAAGCAGAACATGTTGTTGTATGTTCTGATGTTCTGGAGGAATATTTTTGATAATTCATCAGTGCCGAAAAATAGATCAAATATACCTTTTGGTGGCAACGTATTGTCCGGTAACTTAATCTTCCCATTGTTGCAGCACAACGAAAACATAGGTGAACCTTTAGTGGAATAATTTTTCTTCTTTTCTTCGAACCAAAACAACGCCCCACAATGGACGCAAATATTGGTGGCATCACCCAAATCACAATACTCGTCTGCAAACAAATTGTTATTTTAATAGGCGTCCATAAAATGTCTACAACAATATTAGGTATGAAACGTGGCCCTACATACCATGTGCATCAACCGAGGATGTTCCAATATCGGAGTTCTGCGTTACATCGTCACTCGCAGTGTTTATATCTTAATAGACAAAAAATAATATAAATGACTATTAATATGGGCAAGTGTTCAATTTTACTTTGCTAGAATTGTTTACTAAAAGATGCAGTTCGTAATATTACCTATTATGCCATGGTTGGGAATTTGGATACGTAAAGGGATAGATTCCTCTTCAAAGGCTGATAGCAAGTCTCTTTGAATTACATGTTCTTCTTGAATTGGTACTTTATTTGGTGATCTACAACCTATATTGAACACAATAATAAAATTAACAAATATATTTGACTTTAAAATTTTTTAAGATTATATAACATATGAGTATAGGACGTTACCAGTTAAGCAAGATGTTGGTATGGTTGATAATGTTTTTTGGAACTCTCCAAAAACAAATTCCTGGCAATTGCTTGACCGTATGTGTGTTTTGAAAGAACCTACTGTAAACATACATAATATTTAACCGTAAAGATATATAATATAGGCATAATACAACTAATTCATTTGAAAAAAAATTTCTACAAATAAAATTTGTGTACAGGATATTTATATTCACAATGAATGTATATCACTAAATTGTAGGTCATTTACCGTTAGTGATGTTACTCAATGGTGTGATATTCTGAGTCAAACACCCTCCAATTGAAAACTGGGTACGAATACTCGGCGTAGGTTGCTCTGTATGTTGGGAATCATTATTTGTTGCTGATGAACTGAAGCAAGCATTTTCTGTGAAATACAATATAACATTAAAGTTTAAACAAAAATACATAAATAACATTCTTATAAATTCAGAACACATAACATAATAAATTTAACTATTGTACCACATAAATTTGTAATTGCTATAAATACGGGTAAAATTATTAGACAAATTATTTGGTGTACCATGGACCTAGGCAATGTGTTGACTATGAAAAACATTAAAATTACTAATAAAATAACATAAGTAATGTTGGTTTTATGACTTTTGGGCAGTCAACGGTAGGCCAACACTACCGTTAGAATAACGAGAATATAGGAAAAATATATGGAGATAATATAGGAACGTTGTATTGATGAATATTGATTGTGAATGCTGAGAGCGTTGTCCCCTTCTCATCTATGTGAGAGATCTATTTATACATATTTTGGGCCTAGAGCCCTACAAGGAATAAGAATTCTAAACTGCCTCAGATTGGGAGTCTTAGTTACATAATAAGACCTAATTCTATTATAATAGAAATAATGAGTCCAATTCTGATTATATTGGGAATAATAGGCCCAATCCTTGACAAACTCTTCGGTTGCTCTGTGTCTTGTATCTTTATTGGGCTTCCTTAATCCGGTTGCTTTCCTTGGGCCGGTCCACATGGCCCAGGCCTAGTACGCTATCCATCATCTAGTCCCCCACTTTCTTGAGATTTCGTGGAGTCGATTTCTCAGGAAAGTATCTCATTTTACGGTTCGTTAATAATAATAATAATAATAATAATAATAATAATAATAATAATAATAATAATAATACAAGACAGATATGCGTGCGGGTTTGTATTTTAGGGAAGTGCATTAATAATTATAATAATGATAATAATAATAAGATAACGCCATTGTGAACAGGAAGCCATGAGAAGGTTCGTGACTTCGCGTGCCTGTAGCTATATATATATATATATATATATATATATATATATATATATATATATATATATATATATATATATATATATATATATATATAAGTCAAATTAGGGGGTAGTGCGTGCTTTCATGTGGCTGACAAGTAAGATACCTAAGACTAGTAATGGCAGAGGGAACATATAAGACTGCAGAAGGTGTTAGATGCATTCACGACACCGGCGAAATAACCCCTGGTCCTCGCATGTGTGCTCTGTATATCCAAAGTGTAAAGACTAACTAGAAGGCTATGTGTGCTTCTTAATGTGCATAGCAGCTGTGAAGTAACCCCTGATCTTTGCCTATGTACTCTATGTGTCCGGACACCCTCTCACAAAGAGCCGTTTCTGGAAGAAGGAATAGCTGCAAGAAAGTAGATGCTCACCATCCCCTCCAAGTTGCTGTTGAGGCAAGAAAAACCATTTTCAAATTTCATACCTCTTCTCTGTAGCTCTCACCCGTCCCTCCTCCTTTCTTGACAGTGAAGAGCGACCTTAGCAGCAACGACGGGATTTCCGGTTTCGCGCGACTGGTTTCCTCTAGGCTAGCCGGTGCGTTCTCTTCTTCTCCGGATTGTAGGTGGTCACGTCGGTCGGTCGTTGCGACTTGCGACCGACCAGGCTGTGTTCGCGGCTGGCTAGTTTCTGGCCAGCCGTAACAATGCTGGTCGGTCGCTGTGACCGGCCAGCTTTGTTTGCGGCTGGCTATTTTATGGCCAGCCGTAAATCTGGCCGGCCAGCTCCCCCTTTTTTTTTTAATATAATTATTATTATTGTTATTTATTATATATATTATGTATATGCATATGTACGTGCATGTTTGGGAGAAAATTCCCTTTTTTTTTTTTTTTGCAGTAATATGCATAGTAATATACTAATATGCATTGTGTATATATTATGTATATGTATATGTACATGCATGTTTTAGAAAGAAATCTCCTTCTTTTTTTTTTTTTTTTTAAATGGAGAGAATATACCGGTACGATTTGACGTTGTTTTGCTATTTCTTTCAAGCTTGCTTGTGGCTCCTCGGTTCTTGCGTTGGTCATTTTGCGGTTAGTTCCCCACTCGTTCGTCTTTTGTTGTTTTCTTCGGGGTAGTCTCATGTCTAGGGTAATTTACTCTTCTTCTGAATCACAGTCCACATTTGAACCTTCTTCTGAGGACTCTTCTTCCTCGGATGCTAGCTCACTTGCTTTTGCAGGTGGCTCCTCGGGGCCATTTGTGGCACCTAATACATTGTCTGACCGGCTCGAGTCTAGTCCCGT